GAGGGATGGTCACACCACAATCCCTGCTCCTCCATTCTCCTCTCAGGATCTTGGGCACGCATGCACATGCGCCCAGCGTGAGTTTTAAGCCACCAGGTCCAGGACGCGAACCGACTACATGGGAGTCCAGCGACATAGCCATTACACTAACTGCTGGTTCCCAAAGTTAGCACTTCTAAAACCAAGCCAACATGGACAAATGGCTCAATATAAACTCTAGGGAGTAAAATTATCTCCTTCTTATCAAAACAATATCATTAAAAACAAACAAAACACTTCTAAGTATTTAGTGGGTCTTTTCAAATGTAGCATTTAGTTATAACCCATTTGGAATATTTTTAAGTCACTTGCAGGATTCAATGTAACCAATCATAATTCATTTAGTCAAAGACAGAAATACTATCTTCACCACATTAAGTCGCTTTTTGTTTTACTTCATAGTGATTAACAATTTCCACTTGAGTACTTTTACAAATTACCGAGGTAGAGAAACACACTGTTAAATCTCTGCAAGACCTAAAACATTGCAAACAATTAAAAAACCATATGTGATCATTATAATTTAAAATATACTACACTGACAGACCACAGGTGGTTTGGTGGTTAAAGGTGCTGGATTCCCACATGGCTGAACACAGTTCAAGTCCCAGATCTGGTGGCTTGCTTGCTCGCTTTCCCTTTCTCTCTCTGTCTCTCTGATCAAATTAAAAAATAATATTAACAAATTAAATTAAATAAATAATTCCTTAAAGAAAAAAATAAAACATACTACATTGAAAGTGAACAGAAATAATAAAACAGGCATGCAAAAAGTTCTCCACCTCCTATCTCATCCTTATATCAAAACATTTCATTGTGTTTATATGCTAAATGCCTCTAAAACTACATTTATGAATAAAACTTCATAAAATTCCTCTCCCCTTGAAATATCTATCATCTTACTGGGAAATTTGTGGGAACAGATAGCATTCCCTCATTTCAATAAGAAATGAACCTCCTTTCATTCATCCTCGTCTTAAAAAAACGTAGAAAATTCCAATATAGTTCAGAATTGCTTAGTTTCGCAATAAAAGATTTCCTGTAAGTATAAAGCGTTCAACTTTAGGGTACTTTTTAATTTATTTCCACCACTTTTCTTGTTACATGGTATTGTGGCATGTAATCTTAACCCCACTTTAGTTGAAATTTTTTAAAGAAAGGAAAAAGAACAAGGTAATCATACAACAGTCCAACGTAAGATGAGGAGGATTTTGAATCTTACCTCCAAACATCCTACTGTGAATAAACTTGGGGTTAACCAAGTATTTTCAGGAGGTGTACTATGGTGGCATCTACTGGAGTAGAATGCTGACAGAAAAGGATCCAACTTTTCACAAAAGACACGTTTTTGTGTTGAAACGCTGCCAGCTTTTTAACAATGAAAACGAAGTACCTGTGCACATGTAAGTACTCACAACAGAGCTGACCAAAGCCCAACCAGAAGAGTTTCAGAAGTGCGGGAAGAGAGGCGAACCAAAACATTCTGGTTGAACCTCCCTAAACCTTACCAGAGTTTGGTCTTAGGAGGTCTGGGACTTACTCTGCGTCTTCTTTTACCTACTAACCGGTGGGGACAGCAGTTGGGGAAAGGAGAAGGGGCGGAGGAAGAGGGCGATAGGGATCAGAGAGGAGGCAGCAGAAAATCACCTGAACTTAGATAAAGAAGCCTGGCCGCCAGTTCGTTTCGACTTGAGTTGTTACAAAGAACTAAAACAAGCCACAGAAAAACGAAAAGCCAGGGAACACTCACCCCTATGCAAATGTCCCCAGAATTACTCAGTCACCTTGCTGTGCTTTTGTTGCGCTGGGTTCCTAAAGCGCACGGGGTTCCACAGCGAGCTGGAGTCCGCAGCTGGCCGCCAAAGAGTTCTCAATGAGCGAGCAAACCAGGAGGGGAGGAGAAATAGGGACACGCGGAGGCCGGCGCGCCCCCCAGTCCCGCTTCGGGTCCGAAAGTGAAGAAACTTAGTCACAACTCAAGCGGGGCCAGCAAGACAG